CACAATTTCATTATGTTTTTTTTGTTTTTCAGGTACATTATTTTTTTGGTCTATCTGACATGGATGTTTTTTCTTTTTCTTCATATTAATTCATTTACTTGTTATTAAATTTCGTGATTTAATCTTTATTATCTGTTTCAATTTTAATATTAGTTGAATTCGATTGATTTTGATTCATTTGTTCACTGTAATGTCGTTTACAATAAGATAATTTTTTTGCTCGTTTTAAACATTGTTCATGTATACATAATGGACGCCAATGACCAATACCATCATATTGTTCACGATAACCACGTTTATTTAAACGAATTTCATTTCGAACATGAAATATTGATTCTGATTGATCAGATAATGATGATGCAGATGTATAAAGATATGATGGAGGTGGCATAGGAATTTGAGAAACAGCTTGTAAATGATGATAATGTGGTTGTTGAAATAGAAGATTTGATGATAAAATACTATTTGAATTAGTAGATGTAGTTATTGATGATACTAATGATTGTTGTGGAACTTGCGTAGGAGTTGTTGTTGTTGTTGTTGTTGTTATTAAAGATTTTTGTTTTTGTTCCGTATAGTGCTAAATACAAATCAATTTTTTATTAGAGAAGATTACAAAAGAACATAGAAACTTCCTCAAATGTTTTGTAACAAATAGTCAGCAAGAAATATCAAACTAAAAGTTTTCTTTTAGTATATCTAAGACATTCGAATTTTCGATTTAAACAATACATCTATGAACTACTACTATAAAGAATTAATATCTAGCTCTAGCCTTGGCTGATACGTCATTTCAATCTTCTCTATGGATCAATAAACTAATGATTTGCTTGATCTATAAACATATAAGACTTACTCGTTTACACCAATTGAGTACTTTTGCTCGTTTCATACAACCTTCGATAACACATAATTTTCGCCAATATTTTTTTCCATCAAATCTTTCAAAATAACCTTTTTTATTCCATCGAATTTCATCACGTTGATGAAACGACATTAGTTATCAAAATCTAAAAATTAAAATATTGTCTTGTTTTTTGTTCTTTATTTTTTAACAAAAAAAAAAAGAAAAAAGAAAAATTGCGCTTTAATTTGAAAGAGATTCTTTAAAAAAAAAAAATAATATATAAAATGAGATCACTATTGCAAATGAAATGTTATTAGAAAAATATGAAAGACATGATGGATTTAAAATTCAGTTTTTCGATTATCGACTGAATCTCGACCAAGTCGAGGTATATCTTCAAATTCACTGGGATGTTTGTCATCATAATCTCCAAAAAGAACTTGTGTACTTAATCGACGAGGTACTTTAGATAATGAACCATATCGACGTTTATATTCAGCTGCTTGTTCAGCTAAACGATTAGCAGTGGAATAACGTGGAATGCTTAAATGTGAGACTAACAAAAAATAAAATTTTTTGTAAGAAAAAAAATTTCTTTGTTTTTTTTTGAAAATATGTATATTTCTTACTATAACCAAGACCTTGAAGAAAAAGTCGAATAGATTCAGCTAATTTTGCTGGTTGTTCAAGTAAAACACCATTACCACAATCAGCAAGTTCAACAAAAGAAGCCGTTGTTGCATCAAATCGATCATTAGTATCCATAACATCTTGTTTATATTGTGATGAAGATCCAGTAATATTAATAACTGAACATCTATAAAGATAATTTGATTTTTTTTTCTATTAAATAAAAATTCTACACATACTTGAGAATTCTAGATGCATTACCCCTTTTATTCGCATCAGCTTTTCGATCGATTTGAATAGCTGTACGACTAAACACAAAAAATAATAATAATTCAATTTTTATTTAAATATATTTTTACTTTAAATATGAATTTAGAAGTTTAATAACATTTTTAGCTTTAACATTTTCTTCTAAATGACGTCGAAGCATATTTACGAGATCTGGATCTGATGCTTGTGTTCCCTAAATTTTAATAATTCTTATTTTATTAAAATTCATCAATCATACATACAGGTCCTAAATGATATCCAATAAGATAATTCAACAATGAATCTGTCCAATGTTGTTGTGACATATCCTTTGTTGCTCGCTATAAAAACGAACTTTATATATATATGAAGAAAAAAAAAATTAATTTTGCCAAAACTAAATACTTTAATAGACAAACTTTCGAGCCATTTTACATTACGTGCAATACAATTAATCAAAATAAGACCATAGACTTTTGATGGATATTGCAATGCAAAACGAGTTAAAACATTAGCACCAAGACCAACACCAAATCCAATAGCAGATTTAATACTAAAAAATTCGAAATATTAGAAAATAGAAACAGAAAAAAAAACACCTACTCTAAATGCACAAATACATCATTAATTGTTACAGCTAATTGATCCATAGTAGGATAAACAAATCTAGAATAAAATTTATTAAATTCAAAATAATATGAAATAAATTCATACGATGTTGGTAATAGATTAGCTTGTTCATCTTGTCCAGGTGCATTAATATGATAAATAGTAAAATGTTCAGTGACCGGGGACATTTCTGGATATGAAAAAAATTGATGAAATTGTGTTGCAGCTTGAAAAAACAAAAAAAATAAAATTTTTTGTTTATATTTTTTTTCATATTAAATAAATAATAAAAAAAAACTTACAATTATATCCAACATCATGATAAGTAACAATTACTGGACGATCCGGTGGACCTTGTTGTGTTATTATAAGATGACCATATTTTGTTGAAATTGGAATAATCTAAATAATAATGATAATATTTTTAATTAATAAAAAAAATTAAAGAATAAACCTTTGGCTTAGTGAATTCATTTTCACAAATTTCAGGTTGAAGTAATTCATCTTCAATAGTAATACTTGGCGGATCACTAGTCATCATCTAAAATTTACAAACAATAATAATAATAATAATACTCACGATTGATAATTATGAAAAAAAAAAACAGTACGAGACAAAAAAAGGTTGAATCGAGTCTACATCAAATGAGAATAAGAGAAAAGGAAGGTGAAAAGGTGAGCTAAATAGTATGAAAGAGAAAAAAAAATATACGCATATATATGATGGATATGAGTTAGAATAAAAACTGGACAGCTATAGGAGAATTTGCCCAGAAACAATATTTTTTTTTTGCGACATCTCACGCCATCTTTCGATATTTCATATAATAAACTATATTTAATTAATCATTTTTGTTCAAAACTGGACGGAATTATAAATAAAAATCAATATTAAACTGCAGTTGATGAATGTGATAAAAATCGTGATTGTTGTTCTGTACTAAGATTAATATTTTCTTCTAAACTTGGTAAAGAATCAATATGAATTCGATTTGATGTTCTTGATTCCATAAGATCATCATGTGTTAATGCATAATATGTTTTATGTTTATATAACCAAAACCATAGAGCAATACCAACAAGAAAAAGAATTGTTGTTGTTAATAAGAAAGTAGGTAAAAAATATTTTTGAAATTGTTGAAATTGTTTATTAATCATTCGTTGATTATTAATTAATAACATACTAATTTCATCAGTTAAAATACCATTATATGTTTGAGGATTATCACTAACATGATTAGAATCAATATGAAATCTTGTTTCAAACGAATAACGATCAGGTGGACAACAATAACGATAAGTATCTGTACCACAACAAAAATATTGGATTGAATTTTCAATTGGACATGCAAAACCTATCAAATAAAAATATTTTTATTAAAGTTTTTTATGTATATGTCAATATTCAATGTCTGTTTCAGTTCGATTTACACGTATCTAACATTAGATACAGACTTATCTTTATAACTAACCGTTATTCCATGTTCCATGTACATCAATAAATCCGCTACAAATAGTACTTGGTGATCTATCAAATACTATTGTTGGTGCACTTGTAGTAGTATTTGTCGTAGTTCTGATCATCATTGTTCATTGTGTAAAATAATTTGATAATAATAGGATTAGCATTTAGAAGAAACATATGTCAATGAGACATTGAAGAAAAGACAAGAATAAAATCAATCTTCAATATGTTATTTTGTACGATGGCAAACAAAAGATAAGTCAAAGAAAAAGAATTACAGATGAACTAGAAATAATGGAAAGGAAATCTCATCTGTTTAGTTAATATTTCTCTCGTATGTGGACTGTTGACATTCTTCTTTATTTATGAGAAAACATAGTCTGTATGATGTATCGATAAGTATCTTTTTTGTCTATCTTATTTCATCTGAATAGAAAAAGAGCTTGTCATAGATGATTATCACTCATGTATTACAAAGGGAATGAATAAGAATAGTTATATTAATCGACAATGTCATCAAAGATCATAATGAAAAATGCCAAGTATGCAGCATAGCGGATGTTTCTTTTTTTTTTGAAAATCTTATATTTCTATAAAAATTAATAGCAAAAATTAGATAGACACATGTACGTTAGTTTATTAATAAAATTGTTCCTTTTTTTCTTTCTTTAAAAACTTGTTTGACTCATATTATCGCCATCGTCATCAACTGTTGTTTCTGGTTGATTTGAATATGTTGGATTATCATATGTCACGGGTGTCATATGATTAGATGGAAGTGTAGTAGTTGTATTAGGTACAAGAGAAGAAACACTCGAGTTTGGATTATTTGTATTATCATCATCAGCTAATATGTTCCTATTGTCAAGTGAATTCAGTTCTTTACGTGATAGATGATATACAACAGCACAACCAATTGAATCACCAAATACATTGATAGCAGTACGAAATCGATCACTAAAAATGAACAAGAACATATTTGTTAATAAGGCAAGACTGTGATAATAAAGATTTATAAACTAACAGTAACCAATCTACAGCAAAGATTGTTCTAACTTCTTCAGACGGTAAACCAAGTGCATTGAGGACAATAACCAATGTTACTAGACCAGCTGAAGGAATACTTGCAGCACCAATTGATGCTAAGGTTGCTGTAAAACTAAAGAATATAAATAAATATATATATATATACATATACATTCATAACTTTTCAATTAATTTTCATTTACGTAGTGACAATAATATTGGCAGCAGTCAATGGAATACCATTAAGTTGAGCTATATAAATAGCTGCTACAGCTTCATATAATGCTGTGCCATCCATATTAACAGTAGCTCCAATAGGTAAGACAAATCGTGAAATTCTCGGATCAATATGATTTTTTTCTTCAACACATCTATATGTTATAGGTAATGTTGCTGATGAACTACCTGTACCAAAAGCAGTTACTAATGCTTGACCCATGCCATGGATATATTTAAAAACATTCATACGTGTTATAATAAAAAGAATTAAAGGTAAAATAATGAATCCATGTATAAATAAACCAGCTAAAACAGTCGCCATATAAAGACCTAATGAACCAGCAAAATCACTTAAACTATCCATAAGAAGTATTTTGGCAACAATAAGAAAAAAAATACCAATGGGACTAAATAACATAGCAATACGTACAAGTTGCATAACAACTTCTAACATAGCTTCAAAAAATTGTTTAAGTATAAGTGTTTTTTCTTTTAATCGACTTATGATAATACCAAATAAAATACAAAATACAAGTAAACCAAGTACGTTGATTCCATCTCGTTTTTCGAGTATTGCATTGTAGGTAGTTTTGTTATAAGCTAAATATATATGTTTTAAAATTATTTTTAATTATCAAAATTACAATATTACTTGTATCATTTTCACCCTTAACTACTATTTTGTTGACGATAAGTTTAGTAGCTGTCTAATAAACTAAACAAATATATTTGATTACTTTTTTTTTTTTTGAATACTCACAGTTTGAAATGCAGCTTGCACAATATTATCAGGAAATAAATTTCTAAAATGTCAAATTTAATAAAATAAATAAAACTATTTTTTGTTGCTATTTTTACCTGATTAAATCCAGAATCGTATCAACAGTTCGACCTTCGGCTGCTTTTGATTCTGGTTTGATTGTTACTTGACCACCACGTAATCCAGGTCGTATAGTTAATACAAGAATAATACCAACAATAGCTGCAATAATGGTTGTAGCCAAATAATAAATCAATGATCGTAAACCCATTTTTCCACATGATTGTGCATCAAGTTGAGCTAATGATGAAATAATACTTGAAACAATCAATGGAAGTATAAGTAATTTAAGTATATTGATAAAAATAGTGCCTGGAAATTCGATGTATCCTATATCGTCTTTATTTAAACGACATCCATTAATATATGCATCTATAACAAAAATAAAATAATAGAACAAGAATCTATTGAAGAACTTATTTTGTCTTTACCTGTATTACATTTAAGACTTCTAAGACCAATTCCAACGCCAATACCAATTATAACTGAAGCAATAGTAGTTATGAGTAAAGCTTGTTCTTTAAGACTTTCTTTTGAACAACATTGTTGACAAAAATTCCATTTTCGACTATTCATCTCATGTGTTGATAATGGTACCTCAATAATATGATTTGATTTTTTATTTCGAGTTGAAATAACATTTGAATCATTTTTTTGTCGTGCTTCCGAAGTCACCAATGGTATTACACTTCTTATGGATTTTTTCTTGAAAAAGTTCATGAACTATTAAGAAATCCAATAGACACAAGGCGTTATAAGATTTGCATTTAGCTTACTTTATTATTTTAAAGACGAAAAAAAATGAATTAAACTTTCGTGTAGGTTAAACACAATGTGCTTTAAGGTTGAAGAATGATGTCTTTGTTGATAGAAACGTAGACTATTACGACAAATAAATAAGGGAAAGAAGACTTATCTCTTCAGCGAATTTTTCCGAGAATAATAGTCACATAAGAGATAAAAATTATTTTCAAAATGTATGATTCATAATTAAATGCGAAACTCAGAAATGAAATATAAGATTACGTCTGAAAATACATGAATCATGAAATGTTTTGTTAAATTAAGTAAATAAAAAATGACGGCTTTTATCTTTTGTGTTCGTTTTGAAAATGTTGATATGATATTTATCGATGCTTTTTTTTGTTCTTCCTCTATTTGAATGAAAGAGCATCAACTTACCTCAACGATGAAAACAAGAAAGTGATTAAGATTTATTCTTATTGATAAAGTCTCTCATATTTTTAATATTTCATAAGGACGAGTGTATTTTGATGTTTTGGTTCTTATGATCGTCCTTCAAACATACCGTACGAATTCTAACTGACATGAAAGACATTATTGACATAAAATTAGAAATGAATTCAAACTAAATTATGTTTTCGTTACAGGTGACTTAATTTTGAATGCACCAATACAATTATAGTTTGATTGAATAGCGAAAAATATGTGTGTACTTAAACAAGTACATGAACGCAAATGATGTCGCTCAATTGTACTGGTAATTTTGAAAAAGTTCAATAGATTTGTTAAATTTTGTACTATAGTTATGAGTTTCTGAAGTAGCTACAGGTAAATTGACAATAACACACCTACAAATAAACAGTTTCATCATTATGAACACTAAAATATATTTTCGTCAACGTCTAATTGCATTTGTTCATTGTGTTCACTGAACATTGATTCATTATCTTTAGACAATCGTTCTTTTTTCATTTGTGAATATCACTATGATAAATCCTTTGATAATACGCATCTACGTGAAATAAATAATGCAGAAGCTATCTCTTCTGATTTAATTCACAAAATCATTCTAAATATTTATTTAAAAACATGACTTTATCTAGTTTTTTAGTTGCTAATCTTGTTCTTTTTTATTAACTGTTGCACCTAAGTTGATATGTGCGCGATCGGGATCAAGAACATACCAGATTCATTGTGGCTATGATCGGAACTGCTTAAAAAGAAGCTACTGGGATCCAAAGAAACTTGGTCCTGTACATATCTAGTCCTGGATTGAAAACAGAAATCAAACTATTTTATTTCTTCAATGTGTTTGAAACTTACAAAAGATTAGATATCAAAACTAGTTGCGCCGTCACAGGAGGAAAAGGAAACAGAATTCTTTCGGAAAGCTTTTAAACTTTTGGCTCACGGTGTTTGCACCAAAGACCTAAGAGTAAAATTCAGCGAGTTGGTCTTGGATCCAGTCGAGTCTGAAAACTTTGAACTCGATGGGCTCTACTCTACACATTTCTCAGATGAATCGTCTGAGAAATGTATAGGGTGCACTAGTCACCCAATAGAACAAATCGGAAAAAAAGTATCTCGTATTTTCGGAGAGACTGTCCTATTCGGAGTAGAACATTTCAATGAAAGTATCAAAATACGATTTGACCGGACCCAGGCTCAAAAACGTTTGATACGATGGGCTCTAACTGAGGCGGCTCAGCTCTCTAGATGAGAAATATAGCAACAAGATATAACTGTATGCTAAGGTTTTTTCTGAGAGTAACGAATGAATGGAAAAAACCTCAGGTTTGGGTCCAACCGGGTCCGAGTTCACAAAAACGTGGACTCGCAGCTCCCTACAGCTCTCCCTGAACAAAACTTCTAACATCGTCACTAATCAAAATCTTAGCTTGTATATGGGAAGTTATTTTTAATTGATTCCAAAAGTTAGTATAACTATTTTTCTTAATTGTAACACATAATTGTTGAGCGTGATGATGATTGAAGAGAACAAATATGTATTTAATGAAAAGGCAAAAATCATATGCTATTGCTTAATAATTCATTCATTCAAGTTAAATAATGAAAAAAAGATTAATTTTATTTATAAATAGAAGATAATTAATTAATTAGTTAATTCTTAAGTTTCGATATATCAGGTTTAAGTCTTGGATTTTGTCCACCAACATGTTCATCCCATCCTTTTCGACATGTACGAATAATCCATTGATGTTCATCATCATCTATTTTCATATATAAAAAAAATTCATGTTTATAAAAGACAGAAAAAAAAACATTCTAATCTATTTTCTTACCAGCATTTCTTACAAATTCTCCATTATAATCAGTAACAATACGGGATGTTGGATTATAAATTCCATCACCTACATCATAACAATCATGAGGAATAACTTGAGGTGGTTCATTATCTTTTAATTGAGATCGTCCAGCTGGTTTTAAACCATGAAGAGTTTCAGTATAAAAACGTCTATCATAACCATCACAATATTTCCAATCATTAGCGTCATATGTTAAACCATCCGGAAATGTATATTGACCCTAAGAGAAAAATATTCAAAATACTAAAATGAAAAAAAAAAAACAAAATTTGTTTCCTACTTCTTTTGCTACACCTTTTTCCCAAATAGCTTCATATTTAGCACCATTCCCATAATGAAGAATACCATGTCCATGGAATTCACCATCTTTGAATTCACCTATATAAGTAGTACCAGATGGAAAAGTAAATTTAGCATTTCCTTCGAGTCTAAATTTACAAGCAAAAAATTTTTTTTCAAAAATCTCTCTTTCTTTTTTAGATTTTCTACCTTTCATTTTGAATTTCTCCATTATAATTACTATGTGTCCAATAAGTTTTATTTATATTTTCAGTTGATGTTGTCATGATTAAATAAAATAATTTAAAAAAAAAAGTCTCATCGTCATTTTCGTAGTTCTTACCTTAACAACAGACTCTGACTTAAATAGATGTCGTCGTAAGAATTTTCTCAAATATGATTCATCAGAAACCAGTTGCTTGTCATAGTTCTTCCTTCCTTCGTTTAGATCTTGTTTTTTTTTAAATTTTTGTAATAAAATTTCCAAAACAAATGTCCAATACTGAAGAATCATCTGATCGTCCAGTTGATGAACAAAATAAATCACATGCAGGTCATCGTCGTTCCAATTCATATGATCGAGCTGTGTCCGGTGAACATTCAAAAATCAATGATTCAATAGTGGAAAATCCATCTCCTAAATGTGATAAAAAATCATCAGAAATTAAACAAATAGATAATGATATTTATATAATTAAATGGATTGAATTTAATCATGAACGAGTACCTATTCTTCTACAAAATGTAAATGGTCCATGTCCACTTCTTGCTATTGCAAATATTTTACTATTGAGACAAAGGGTAAAAAAAAATCTCCTTTCTACTTTTTTTATTCAAATCATTAGATGAATTATTTTTCAATCTAGATTCGTCTCAATCCAAATGCAGGTGCAATTAGCACAGAACATGTTATTGCAATGATTGCTGAATATATACTTCAAATTGATACAACAGTAAATGATTATCAAAAAAGATAAACATGTTGTTTTCTTATTTTAAATTTCTATTAAGAAATTATCCGCTGACGATCGTGCTAATTATGAACAAAATGTTGCAGATGCACTTTCAATACTTCCTAAACTTCAAACAGGATTAAATATTAATTTAAAATTTAATGGGTAAAATAGAAAATATTATTTCGAATAAGATTAATTGTTATTGTTTTTTTTTGTTTGTTTGTATTTAGTGTTGATAAATTTGAATATACAAGAGAATGTATTGTATTTGATTTACTTGGCATACAATTATTTCATGGATGGGTTATTGATCCACAAAATAATGAATTACAAAAGATTGTAAATACAAATGGATCAAGTTATAATCAATTAGTTGAAAAAATGATTCGACAAAAACAATCTAATAACAAAGAACTTGCACGAGAAAGTAAAATAATTGAATTATTTTTCTTTTTAATGTATAAAAATAAAATAGAAAAGAATTTTTAAGGTTTATTAATTGAACAATTTCTTGATGAAAATCGTTCACAATTAACACATTATGGTATACTTCAACTCCATGAAACAATGCGTGATAATCAATTAGCTGTTTTTTTTCGAAATAATCATTTTAGTACAATATGGAAAAATAATGTAAGTAATTTCTTACCTCTGAGATCTATTTAATCAAGAGTTAATAATAGAGTTTTTTATTTTAATAATTAAGAAAATTTGAAATATCAATGAACTATTCAATGAGAAAGCACGTCTGTCTTTAAGTCTTGATAAATGATTGTTGCTATATTATTGCATTTCTGGAGGATTAAATAAAAAGCGAGTGAAGAAATGTATCCGAAGGTATATAGTAATACAACAATCTCTCTGTGATTAGGAACAGTAGCTGCATCGTGTTTCACATTTTAATCTGGTAGGAATTGTGCTAACAGATTTTTTTTTAATGAAAATGAGTCGTTTTACGTGTAAACAAAATCGATAATGATGTAATGAAATTTTCGAGCTCAAAAATTAGAAAAAATATGTCGATGAGTTTGATGCACTAATATTTAATATCATTTTGATTAATATTAAAAATATTTCTAAGTAAAATTATCAAAGACTTTATTAGAAAATTTTCTATATGTCTCAAGATCTATACATATAATCTATATATTTCTTTTAAGTTTTTTCTCGTTTGGTACACACTGTGATAGAAACATTGCTACATTTGATAGATGAATTTTATTTAGGTTATCATTTAAGTGATCAGTAAAATTATTGAAAAGTCAGTTTTTTTTTCAAATTTACGTTAATATAACAGAGTAGATGTTAATAACACCTTGAGCAGTTGACTTATCTTTATTGCAACAAATGAACCATTACAGAAGATAAGGGGAAAATTCATAATAAGGAATATTCCGAAGACGATGATATACCAGAAAGGAAAATCATTTATCAACAAAGAATAATCCATAAAATTAAAGAAAGGAAAGGATGAACTTATTTGGTATATAAAAGTGGACAATGGTTTACAATGGGAAAAATTAAAATGCAATTGACTAGTGTTTTTCGAAGAACTACATATACAAATAAATTGTTAGTATGTCTATTCATTTGAAATATTGCAAATTGCCACCAGTAACAAAGTCAATACTAATCGCCGGGAAAAGAGAATGAAATAGACCAGCAAAAACAAATGTTGTTTTTCTTTTAGTCTGTACTTATTTATTTATGTCAATTCAATTTGCTTATACTTATAAAACTTATGTTTTCTGCTAATAAAATCTGAATATTTTACTGATATAAATCGCACTCTTTTTAATGTCAATTATATATTATGAATTGACTAGTTTACAACTTTTTACTGATAATTTAAATGTTGACTATTTCATCTATTTTATCGATCAAATAATATTATTATTATCTTTTATTTAATTTTAGAAACAACTCTTATTACTTGTTTCTGATGAAGGTTTTGCAAATCATACGTCAATTGTTTTTGAAACATTGACTGATATTGATAATGATAGTTCATTTACTGATGGTTATGGTCAAAAATGGCAAAAACCAGTACCAGTGGATGTATCTCGAGAGTTTGTTTGATCTATTTAAAACATTCATTTTTCAAATTTGATATATTTAGTCGTGATTTGGCAATAGCCATTCATAATGAAGAACGAAGTCAATATCATGAAGCATCAATACAACAACAACAACAACAACAACAACAACAACACTATCATCCCCAACAACAACGGTATGCTGAAGAATATTATTGTGAACAAAGTTCAGGAAAATATAAAAAGAAACATAGAAGACGATCACATGACGAAGATCGTGACAGTTCTTGTATTTTATCATAGTCTATTTTTTATATGAATTCGAATTTTTATTTTGTGTGTGCGTGTGTATGTGTTACCAATATGCGATAAAAAAAAAAGCTATAAATTTAATGTATAATAAACAGTGATATATTTATAATTTTTTCTTTTTTTGAAAATTTATTTACAAAGATGTTCAAATTCATTAGGAAATATATAATACGATGATGCTGATGATGATGGTGTTGATGTTGAATTACGACTAGTTGCTGTTGGATAAAGATTAAGTGATGTATTAAATATTGTTGATGTATCTGTACATCGTGATTTAATATCACTTGGTGTACTACTTATTGTTGATATTCGATTTGATACAGATCGATTATGTTCAATTAAAAGTGGTGATGTAACTGGTAAAGGTACTTGTACAATAGACATTCTTTGTTGTTGACGTTGTCTATTACGACGAATTGATATTAAACATTGACAAATCATAATAAAAATGAGTAATGTAATGGCAAAAAATATACCAGCCGTACACATTTGAAAGAAAAACCATTTTTCAGTAAGAAAATTATCAGATGTATGAAAAATTAAATCATCTGATGGTTGATATGGAGTTTGAGATGATGATGATAATTTTGATGGAATACAACAATAACGATCCGTTTCTGTACCACAACAAATTCGAGGTGATGAACAATCGAAACCTACAAAACAATGATAGAAAATATGAAATCTTTTATTCATTCGATTAAAAAATATAATGATTATCAAGTGTAATTTCAGTTACTTTGAGTATCATTGATTAAAGAAATTATTAAGAATGGCCAATGTAATCGTTATGAAATCAACATGAAGGACATAAGAAACTATTTTCACAGTAAATGAGAATGCTTAAGGAATGTATCCTTCTGTTTATCAATACACTATCTTCTGTAAATGTGTATTCATAATGAAGAAAAGATCTTTACTTGAATGAATTACAATGTATGTAGAAACAAAATGTTTACTATGGTATGTGACAAAGAGAGAATCTCATTTTTTTCTCGCAATAGAAATCAAGAATTATTAGCAATCATATTTTATAAAATTTACCAAACAATTCTTCATTATGAATTTGTTAATTGAAACTCATTTGTATATCTCAAATAAAAATTAGTAGTTTATTCTTTCCTACAGAGTCTTATAGTAAAGATAAATTCATATTTATCAAAATTAAAAAAAAAAAACAGAATATAAATTTTCAATACCATTATTCCATATTCCATATCGATCAAGAAAGCCAGGACACGATGTAGTCATCATATCAATGATTGATCGTCGTTAAAAATGAATATATAGAAGAAGGTTAGTTATAGACGTTATTCGTTAGTTTTTTCTATTACCATCAAAATGTTCTGTCTATCATCAAACAACCAGAAGTAGCGATGGTAAAAAAAAAGAAGAGCTTGTATTTCTCTTATTCTATCAAATCAGATAAGTGAAAGGAAAAGAAAAGCATCATTTTCTCTGAAGACAGAAAAGAATGATTAATCATGAATAGTATAGACGATGATATCGTTCAGTCTCGCGTCTCAACTAAACGAAAGTTGATTCCATCTGGCATTATAGATAATTGATGAGCTGAGACCCACACACACACATATATATATATAGATAGAAGAGTAAACGAACATTTTTACTGTTTATAAAATCATCATAGTGGAATACAGACACGTCAGTTTACATTCTTCAATTAGACAACGATAAAGACCAGACAATATATTATCGATAAAGAGACAACTTATGTGAAGGATCATTAACTATATAGACAGTTGACTAAAGAATAGTTGATTTATTTTCAATGACCTTCTTATGATGAAAAAAATTCTTCAACGATAAGAATATCTTTTCGAACATTTTTTTTTTCTTTACTCTATAATAATATTGATCTTTCCCATTTCTTTCTTTTTTCTTTTTTATCACAAAACTATCTCGAATATCTCGTCTATTTATTTATCTATGTTTACATAACTATCACTTTTACACATTAAGAACAACAGAAATAAGTCATGTTTTTTTTTATGTCTCGTCAGTTCTATATCTCATTACTGTTATTGTTTATTTATTATACAAACATATATCAATCGACGCATGGTTAAAATGATGTTACACAGATAATAATTGTTATGGGATTTCTTTTTTTTTTCTGTTGTCATAACATTCATTATGTTTTATATCAAAAAACAATTGATTAAAGATATTTTTTAATAAAATCTAGTTTAGTTGAAACTGATGAATAAACACCAGGTTGTATTGTTTCTGAATTCACACCATGTGATGTAATACCAAATAAATACCAACGATTATCTGTTTTATTAAGTATCATTAATGGGCCACCACTATCACCTTCTATAAGAAAAAAAAATGACTAATGATAAGAAATAATTCAGAAGTTTTAAAATATAGTTGTAGAAGATATTCTTTTCTAAAATTATCTCAGAAAACTATGATATGTCATGTCTTTGCATTCTATCTCATGTAGAAGCATCTAAAATACGTTCTGTACTCCTCTTACAAAACTCGTTATACATCGTTTTCGATTGGTGTCAGAAATAAACATATCGAACTGTATACAATATCTACCAGACAAGAAGAAAAAAAATATCTAATACCTTGCGGCATGAAGTACTTGATATCTTCCCTCCAATTAATACTAGTTATAGATTTGAAGTGAAGGCCAGCCTTACGTTTAATAGCTTGAGCTCCCATACATACTAATTAACAACAAGAGCAGATGTATGTCACAAAGTAATCTGCATACTGTCAGGTCAGTATGTTCTTCGTCGAATTACATTTCGGTGATTTGTATGTCAATGATCGACTCTATTAGTTAATAACTAATTTAAATGAGTGATACAATAAGTTATTAACTTGATCAAGTTTAGTCATTAGTTTGATTTCAGTGTTAACTCTAAGCTAGTAGATGATCAAGAAGAATTCGGCAATCTTTCTTTTCGATAATGATGTTCGTTTCGACGATGAGCATTACAATCGTCCGTTCGACAACAGACGATCTGCCACTAAGTCGCCCTTCTCTCCGATCTCGCAATGACATTGTCTGCTTATTTATATTTTCAGTGTTTGTCAGAGGGAGAGACAAATGGTGTTTCAACATCCGGTTTCCTTTCAAACTTACCACGAAGCTGTAAAAATTTGGTACAAAGTGTTATGAATTTTAGCAGAAAATCGAATATTTGCCTTTCTACTCTTATCTTATGGTAATCCTCTATATATCTCTAATGATTGATGATATTGAGGTTTGAACAGAGTTCCATGTTTCTACCATATCATATGATTTCTGAATGAATTACATAATGGTCAATAGGAGTGGAATTCAAGTATCGATCTGTTTTCAAAAAAAAGGTTAACCAACTCAATGAATTTCATATTATCAAGAAGATAATAATTTAATTTAAAAAAAAAAAACAAATTATTCTATTCGTTTTTATCAACATATTCAAATTCATAAATGTAATTCTCGTGAAAAGAACCTACCTCTTGAATCTACATTATCATATGTATTTGTTGCACATATTTCATCTTTTTCATCAAATGATCCAAAAATATTTTTACAATAATTATTTGATTTAATATAAACTAAACCTTGTTTTAAATGAAATGAACCAAATGCATTTAATTCACTTATTTGATATTTTCCACCCCAACCTGCAATAAAAGCTATTGTATCAGATTTTATTTTTTGATCTTTTTCATTTGGTAAACATATTGAATTAATCATTTCAGAACGTTGAAGTTGTTTTTTAAGTTTTATTAATGCTACATCATAATCACAACATGATATATAATTTGGATGAATAATAATATTAGAAACAGCATAATAGTTAAATATATTAAGACGACCAAACAAATTTGCAGCACCAGCAATAACAGTTATATATTTTGGTTCATCAATTATACAATGTGCAGCTAGAAAAGTTTTTTTTTTATGAAAATTTTATACGATTAAAATATAAAAATTTTTACCTGTAATTATTGTATCCGGTGAAATAATTGTTCCACCACATGATTTTAATGATTTAAGATTAATAACATTAACTACCCATGGAAAAGAATGATCAACTGCTGATATACCACCAGTTATACGTGGTTGATCTATTTTAGCTGGTAAAATTTGTCGTATATCTGATTTACCACAATCAAATAAACGTCGAGATTTTGTTGGATTAATTTTATCTTGAAATTTATTCCAAATCCAATTTAAAAAATGATTTTCAACTGGTTGTATATATAATATTAAATATAGAAAGCATATAAGAATTAATAGTTTCATTGTAATAAATGAATACACTTTTTATTTCAAATGAACTTTATGTTGATCTATATGAAAATAGATAGAGAATGTATTCGTTCTCAATTGAAGGTTAGTTTAAAATGTTACTTTTTTTTTCTTCATCGTTCTATCTTTGCCCTTCATTCAAAACATTTTGTATTGGTTCGATAAGCGAATGAACAAAAAGAACAAATAGTCAAGACATATGATGTGAGCAAACTTTACTTTCGTTCTATTATTTCAATTGCATAAATGTGTATAAATCATAGAATTATTGAGATCATGATATCAACATTGAGATGGGTTGATCTTATTGTTTGATGAAATTTTCATAGGATATACATACATGAATATCATCTATTTTGAAACAGAAAATTTCATTCAGATTTCATCCAATATTTAAATAATAAAATTTGATAGAAAATATTTAGAAAAACTTAATTTGAATGATCTAACTAAGTTAGCTCAGTGTAGATGTATAAATATAGCCTTCATCAAGGATGATTATTTGCATTCGTTTGTTTTACAGAATAAGATACAAAATAAAATCAAGCCAATTAATGTATATGAAAATTACAGAAACAATGAGAAATTTCATTTGAATAATGTCGTAATATAAATAGATAATTGAGAAAAATTTCGAAAGAAAATATTTAATATGAACAAACTTTCATAATTTCAATTGATATTGTTTGAGCAACTACAGATCTATAGCTGTTTGCAAAAAAAAAACTTGGAGAAAATTAAATTTATTTTTGTAATGTTTTTCTTATCGTTGAAACCAAATACTAAACTCATTTTTTTCTAGGGATAAATCTTTGATAGTTATACTACATGTTGACCATACAGAAATGTGATTTCTTTTCTTTTCAATACATATATATTTTTAATCATGACACTAATTAGAGATTTAAAAAGTCATCATATCTCAATATTATATTATTGAAATAAAGACATACGATCTGCTCGTGTTATTCATCGCGAAATAAATATTTCACGAAGTAGTATCTATTACAATATCAACAAATTTATCGAGAACATATCATTCATCAATATCTACATTAACAATATGTCATCATCTTTATAAAATATGATTATAGGAATGTCTTACCAAAAACTACTGATATGCTAAAATCTAAAGACAAAAAAACCAACGTGTACAATGGTCTAAACAGCATAAAAACGATGAATTTTCGTAACACTGTTCGTTGTTGATCAAAACATCCACCAAATGATGAAATTAAACATACACCTAAAAGTCGTCAAAAAGTTCATGGGTGAAGTGCTGTTAGTATGAAAGATGTGTTGACTTGTCATACATTCAGATGGAATCTTGATGGTCCATATTATGTTGATATACTTGAAAACGATGTTCTTCCCGCTGCTAGACGTGAGTAATGCAAGAGAACAATGTAGCCTTACTGTTTATTCGTTCATTTTAGAACGATTTTGTCAAAATTGGCTAGGACAGCAGAACAACGATCCGAAGCGCATCAGCAATATTACCAAACAATTCATCAACAATAATGTACCAGAATTATCACAGTGGTCATCTAATAGTCCAGATATCAATCCTATAGAAAATATTTGGTTGATCATAAAACACAAAGTTGAAAAAAGAAAATCCAAAAATATTGACGAACTCGAGTTTTTTTTGGGAGGTGAAGAATTCAAATATATTGAAATTAAGATTGTAAAAATTTGTGTGATATCCATGAAAGAAAGATGTTTGTCTCTTATGTCTTCTAAAGGCAAACGAATAAGATATTGAAATATATGGTGTTCAATAGTAATCGTCGTAGGCTATCAGCCAATATATGAAATAATTTGACCATGACACATATAAAGAGAAATACTGGTATAACAAGATGTTCAATTTTTTTTGCATGTGTATATTCAAATACAAGTAACGCTCCTCTGCGGACTCACTCAGCTCTTTCTCGTAGAAATGCTGTTTCTGATCTCTCAG